GCTCATAGGTGGAAAACCGGTACGTTAAAACTAATTTCTCTTGAGTACGACAATAATCGGACATTACCAACCAATCAGAAACCCTCAGGGGAGAGTCACAAATACTTGTAAAACAGGCAGACTAAAACACAGAAACACCAGTTTAGCTGCACTGACTCCTCACGGCGGGGTTAATCCTCAGTGTGCAGGATGCCACAACACGGCAAATAAGTTATTAAAGGAAATAAAACACAGGTCAGGCGCCAGTCTGCCACTTACTACCCACAAACTCTGATCAAATTTGAACAAATAACACAAATAAATTGACTGTAATTTGTAGATTTTGTTAATCATTTATGAGCATCAATATCCACACAGTACATTTTAAATGTAAAATGTATGCCTTTGGATTTAAATAGTGGAAATAATTAGTACACATCTCTGCTAGCTACTTTTCACCTTGTATCTGCATACATGTTCCCCATTATGGGCTAGTGTGGCAATCAAATTCAAAGTGCATAAATCAGTAGTATTAACTACTATACCTCCTCAGCTACCATCATCCATAACACAGAAACATTCAAATCCCTCCAAGTATAAGGCGAATACACAAGCTATAACCACAGTATCTCAATATTGTCTCTTGGGCTAGTGCTTCTCAAAACAGTGAAGTGGGAAAAATACTTAAGGTAAGTATTTTTAATGTAAGGGAGGCTTTTCTCTTTATTTAGTTTAGGATTGCTAACAGAGTGCAGTTTACTGAGATACCACAAGAGAGCAACAGTCCTTATGTTTGTGTGACACTGACAGGTTGCCTTTAGTCCGACCCCCATCTACCAATGACCAGATCAAACCTTAGATGGGTATAAAATGTTGGCAGTAACCTCATCAAACTGCTCCCCAAATCTCTAAATTGTAGCTTGTTTCTGACCCTGGAGCTCAACTGTCCAGTAAGGCTAAATTGGATTCATCACAGCCAGAATATATAACAATTTAACAGCTCTTGACTTTTAATTTAAAGGGCAGTCTCAAACTGGACCCTGTACAAAAGCAGCAAAACAAAGTACAAAACATGTGTTAGACACATGAAGAAAAAATAAAAGATAAAAGTACCATTTTCAAATAGCATCTGACGTGGCCCTAACCGTTTAACCGTGGCAGTTTAAGAAACACATGTAACTGGGGCGAACTAAGACATAAGACAACACTAAGGTGCTTAAAATGTGTCTTTTAAATAAAACAATGAACAGCTTATTACACTTACAAAAGCTTATCCACGAATTCAAACTTTCTGTAGTACCAGCCAAGACACATGTGGGGGGCACATTCAACTGACTCTCCAAATGTAAACATGAGGAATTAATCACGAGGAAGAAACACATCTTAACAATATTTACAGGTTAATGCTACACTACGAGTAGGATGTCTATAGATAAAGTGAGCAGGAGTGCATCGACAGTGCACAGAGACTCTTTTTGGATAATTAACTGATTGAAATGTCAGATTTTAATGGAATATTTGGATATTTTGGGAAGTAGATTAGAAAATTGTCACTTCTCTCATATCTGTCCATTAAATATGAATATAGAGCATAAAGATTGGAAACAGCTAATTAATGGGGTCCTCCAAAGCGTTTTAACCCCCAGTAAAACATCAAATGATTGTTTTTAAACTTCGGTTTTTATTCGAATAAAACAAACATATTAATTAATGAGATTTAGGTGCTGGTAGATGACTTTTTCTAGCCTTCAGACAGAGGCAAGCCAGCCGTTTCCTTCCATTTCCAGTCTTTATTCTAAGATAAGCTAACCAGCTGCTAGATTCAAATTTAACATACAGACACGAGACAGAAGTATCAATCTTCTCATCTAACTCTCGGCAAGACAGCGAATAAGTGTATTTTCCCCAAAATGTCAAGATATTTCTTCAAGAGAAGAACTTTTTACTGACAAGGATTCTTTCAGTTCTCTTCCAGTCGGTTCACGACGAACAACTGCTAACAGTGCGTGTAAAGCCACACATTTCTGAGCGGTATTACATACTGCGTGTCTCCAACTTTGAGCTTCTACAGATCACTGTTATAAGAAATGGACTAGTTTAAGTAATAGTGATGTTATCATAAGGAGCCCTTTTAGTGATACGCTCTGTTGTGCCAAAAGTAATCACTGTCAGTGCTCTTTGAGAGATTTAGGCATTGGAATATAATGTTTATCATTTCACAATATACATCTTGATGAAGTGTGCACACTTAATGAGCTACATAAGCAGGTTTTTGTGAATATTATTATCCCTACACTCTTGGTAATTAATTACATAGATCGGGTTTTAGTTGGAAAATGAGCTGTAAGTTAACATTAACATTAGATTTTTAAAACCTACACATATACCGTAGGTCTGGGTACATTAGGGTTTTACTAACAAGTCACAGAAAAGTGCGATATCGCCTCAAAGCCAGATCTACAGGAGAGGAGCGTGCTTGCTTAATGTAAGCAAAAGATGAGAGTCAAAAAATTACTCCGACTCCTGACTCGGGGAAGCTCAAGCATTGACGTTAACGTAGATCTGAAAATCATCATCTCCCGTCTCTGCTTCACGTCACACACACACACACACACACACACACACACACACAGACACACGCAGTCACAAACACCACACACTGCATTGCACGGCTGACTCTCCACGCGTCACAACTTCTCTTACGTCCTGACAAATTGACGTAACGTGCCACGAATTACACACTACAACAATTATAAAAATGAAGACAATTAGGAGTACATTTTAAATATCACTAGAGTTAAATGTAAGGTGCAGGATCGATTATAAATGCTGTATAACATTTTCTAACTATAGCGGGTGAGCTTACAGGATTTGGTTATTGGCAATGCCATATACATGTATATGCTCAAAGACAAATCAGCATTTGGTTATTGCTGGGTCAGACCAGAACCACTCGCTACATCTTGGCAGAGAATGACCAAAAATAAAACATTTTTTTTTCTCACCATAGTGTGGTTCTCACTCGACCGATAGTATGAGCGAAGATTTAGGAAACCTCTTCCTCCCACTTTGTAAAAGATGCTACAATCAATGCATTGTGCAAGGCTCTGGAGAGAGATGTGTGTGGTACTGGAAAATCCCAAATGAAACCAGAACAGAGTTGTGAAATTCATGAGGAGAAGCGTGGTGACAACACGTCCTACTGGACTCTGAGGTTATCTATTGTATTTAACAGAGTAAAAAATAACTATTTCTTATTGTGGTAGTTGTATGTGTGTGTTTTTTTTTTTTTTTATGAGGCCTCCATGTAGCCTTCAGTCAGTTTTTCCCCTCAGTGTAAATGTCACTGAGGTGCATCGCTCTCCCGCTGCAGGAGTCCTCTTAAAAGCTCTAAGAAAAACAAAACAAAAAGTAACAAAAGTGCTTCGATGCTACGGAGATTTGTTAGTTGTTGGAGTTCATCCTACCGGCAGAGAACAGAGGAGGCGGTGGGGGTAAATGAGTGGTGGGAGGCAGCCCCCCCATGGAGTGCAGCAGGGGGAGAGAAAGCTGGGTTCCATGGAGGGGGTGTGGGCTAGAGGCAGCAGCGGGTGTGGTCACAGACGTGGCGGGGAGTGTCGCCCCCAGCTGCACCTGACCGGAAGAGTCCACAGCGGGCGAGGCCAGAGGCTGTTCGAGGCCGAGGGGGTTGTTACTGTCGGCGACCATGGGGTTGCTGACGCGGAAGCATTTCTCCCTGTGGGCCTTGAGCATGTTGGAGAAGCGGAAGCGCTGGCCGCACACCTCGCAGGGGTAGGGTTTCTCCCCGGTGTGGGTGCGGCGGTGGCGCTTCATGTTGGGCCGGCTCGTGAAGCTCTTCCCACAGATCTCACAGATGTACGGCTTCTCTCCTGCACAAAGAGGGACATCAATGTAGATAAAATGTACAATGTAATGTAAAACAGACCCATAGAAAATAATCACCCGACTGCAGTTCCGCTCAGTTTCAAGGAGCTTTTTAGTGTCTTTTAGCTTATTGTTTTGTTTTGCTCACAACCTTACTGCTTTGATTCACTGTTCTCGTACCATCATCAAGTCCTAGAAAAGCAACTGTGCGCTACCTGCACGGCACTAAATGACAGACAGACAAAGTTAGCAACTAGCAGAAGCTAAAGACCCAGATATATTGCTCAGGAGGTGACAGAACTAAAAGGAAAGTGAATATTGGACTTTAATTAATAATAAATAATTAATCATGTGCAGCTGGATGTGTAAATAAATAGTTTGCTGAGTTTTTAAGCTAGTTGCATCTTTAAAAAGGGGATAAAACATCAATGTTATGTTTAATGCTGGTTTATAACATTTCGCTCTTCTGTGATTTGGTATCAAAACACCCTTGAAAATCCTCAGAAGTAGCGCGAGAAGTGACTCACCAGTGTGTGTCTTCATGTGTTCATCAAAGTACTGCTTCATGTTGAAGTCCTTTCCACACCACTGGCACATGAACTGCTTGTGTCCGATGTGGATGCTCATGTGGGAACGCAGCTGGTATTTGTACTGGAAGCGCTCGCTGCAGTTCTGAAATGGCACACAGTGAACATTTTACACAAAGTCTTCACAATCATAAATAGTTTCATAAAAGATAGTCACAAGAGGAGCACTCGATGGGTTTTATTCAGTTCCTTTTGAGGGAAACGCAGTGCTACATTAAACTGCCCCCACAAAAGTAAAAACTCACGTCAATCACAAATTTAATTCAAATCTCAGCTGTGAGAAACTGTGTGCATGTAAAACACATTGAGAGAGATTTCAGTAATAAAATCAAAACTATTTATTGTGCATTATAAACCCTATTATGGGTATTACACATGTTGAGTTATGCAACTTCAAATATGAGAGTAGGTCCAATTTTACAAGCAGCCAAACTGTTTTAACATTTATATGATATTATCTTAAAATATAAAACTGTCTGAAAACACAAGAATATTTAAAAGTCTTTGCTTTAACAAAATACTTTTGGGAAATACGCTTATTTGCTTTCTTGCCTAGCGTTGATGAGAAGATTGATACCATCCTTATGTATGGTAAAGCTACAGCGAGCAGCAGGTAACTTAACTTGGGCCAGGCTAGCAGTTCCCCCTGTTTCCAGTCTTTATGCTAAGCTAAGCTAACCCTCTCCTGGCTACACTTATTACATATTTATTACGTGTTTTACACAAGATCAATCTTCTCGTCTTACTCGCGGCAAGAAAGCAAATGCGTGTCGTTAGTTAATGTTTATGATTTGGTAATTAGAATCATTTTCTGTTTGGATCCAGCACATCTGGATTCCTTGACAATAACAGAGTATTTTATAAGCAGGGGCCATAAAGCAACTTATTTCAAGAAACCAAAATAAAAAAAAATTAGAGGTTTTAAATGGTGGATATCTCAGTTGGAATAAAACTCTTCATGTGAGTAAAGTGGAGAGCAGCAGCAGCGTATAAATGGAGCTCAAACCTCACACTTGAAGGGTTTCTCTCCTGAGTGCTGCAGAGAGTGAACCTTCAGGGACATGCTGCGCTTGAATGACTTCCCGCATGTCTCACAGGTGAACGGCATGTCCTTCGTGTGGGCTGAACAGACAAACATACACACACACACACACACACACACAGCACAAGCTAAGTTAATGGTATTCTATATTGAGCCGCTCTTGATTGAATAGCAGAAGGAGGACAAATAAGCAAACTGCTACTCTAAAATAGCACTTAAGGATCAACAATAAGAGGCTAATTACAATGCTTAGGACAACGGATGCGTTTCATTTAGTAAATAAGCTATTTCCTCCCAAGTTTCCATCAAACTCTCAAGTCAATCCTTAAGTAGGAAGGATAAATAGGATGTATGGTACTTTATACAAGCCCTTTATTCTAATGCTGAAACACAGATTCACACTGGGAATGAGCTAAGCCTGTCTGGGGAAAAATAAGATGCTTATCTCCCAAAAAGTGGAAGAGGAAAGCAACACCCAAAACAAATCCTGCACAACAATCAGTGGGATGTAGAAAAGGAAGCCTAGAATAACAAACGGGAACAAAGCGACCAACCAGGATCGCTGGTTTCGCTGCCACTCACCGACCATGTGCTTCCTGACATGAGCCATGGTGTAAAACTTCTTCTCACAGATCTCGCAGGAGAACTTCTTCTCGGCGTAGCCATGGACGATCTTGTTGTGCTCGTGTAACGACCACAGCTTTTTGAAGGCCTTGCCACATGTTACACACTTAAAGAAGAGGAACGCAAAATATAGTTATTACTGGAGCTATTTTGGGTATGAGATATTAAGGAGATCATTATCTGGAACAGTTTTTACAAACACAATCCAGGTGTGTGAGTTTATACAGATACTTGAGTGTTCATTGTACCAAAAAAGCAATTAGAGTCAGTAGATTAAAGCAGCAAATGATCTTCAAAACCACAGCAGGAGTCCAGCTGCTCACTGCAGAGTGGGTAATATTGGAGCTACTGAGACATATCAGAATGTATTATTACAGACTGCCAGTTGACTGAGTTACTGACTCTGATCAGTGTTAATATATTTACATGTTTGCAACTGTGCATTTCCTAATTAGTGACTAAATAATACTTCAAAAAGGGAAACTACAACAATAACAAACGGCATAGGTTTGTGTCTCAAGTGAGGTTTATCAACAACCCATAAACACAAACAAATGGAAACCATATGAATGCTGTTTCCTGCATTTACAGGCATTTAACAGCCTAGGATACAGATTTAATTTTGAAGCTTGGTGACATAGTGACTGCTCACAGGTATACCTGCAGAACTGTTGTAGCTGGTGTTATCAAGCTAGAAAGGTAAGTGTCTGTAAACCATTCCTCTTTTGTGGAGCAGTTTATACTCTAAAGAGGAGGGTTAAATAAAAGTGGTGCAACACAGCTAATAAACTACAATAGCGTTCTCCATCTTTCTCCAACTTGTCTTAGGCTCTTCATCAACCGAAGTTAAACATAAAATAAAAATGCATGGATTTACTTGGCCAAATGCACTGATAAACAACTATTCCCTTGAAATCAATTGGCTTTGCTGTGAAATTTGCCGTTCTAAATGCTGGTGGGAGACCTAAACTAGGGTTTTAGTAAGTGAGGGGGGTGTCTTTCATCATAATCATGGCTAAATTATACCTGGATGCTCTTCTCACAGTCGGTCTGTTGGTGCAGCAGCAGCTCGCTCTCCAGCAGGAAGCGTTTCCCACAGTTATTGCAGATCTGCATGCGGTTGTGAGTGACGTTCATGTGTTTTTCCAGGTACCAGCGGTTGTTGAAGACGCGAGGGCATTTCTTACATGAGAAATGTTGCTTCTCCTCCAGCCTCACTTTCTGGCCCAGGCCCTCTGCATCCAGCGTCCTCTTCCCGCCCTGCCGCTGGTTGGCCAGCGTGGCCTCTGTGAGTGTCTGCCGCATGGAGGCAGTTGTACCCGCCATGGCAAAGGCTCTGGTGCCCCGGCGGGGTCGATCCATCATTGCCGGCTGCTCCAAACCTGGAATGTTTAGGGTGTTCTCCTCCTCCTCCTCATCTTCCTCCTCCTCTTCCTCCTCGCTGCTCTGCCCCAGCATGTCCCCCCTCCTCAGGTCATCGTCATCCTCTTCTCCAACTGTGTCGTCATTCTCGGCCTCATTCTCCTCCTCGTCCTCTGAATCTCTCTCGTTGTCATGGCAGTGGCCGAAGATGGTGGCTGTCTCTGTGGCGGTTGCTGATTTGCCCTCTGATCCCTTTGACACATTCAGGGTCTGGTTATTTAGGTTGACTTCAACAATGATCTGGTCTCTGTTGAAGGAGTTGTGGCCATCTGCGGTCTTCGACTCCCCATTGCTTTCAACTTTGCATAAAGCAGCCACACCCGTGCTAGCCCCACCCCCTGACCCATCCTCTTCCTGGTAATACTGCTTCTGCTGGGAGGTCGTCTTGCCGGCCTCCTCCACTCTAACAGAGAATGGGCTGCTGCCTTCTCTCTTGTACACCCTGCCCAGCTCTGACTCCTGTTTGATCTCCGGGTACAGCTGGCTGGGGGGCATCGCTACAGCAGTTGGGTCACCGCTACCGAGCCCTTCCTGATTGGCCATATCTGTGCACGTGGTTCTCAGCGAGTGGCTGCTGATGAGGTCGCGACAGGAAGCTGCGATGTCGCTCATCTGAAGCAGGGTAGCGGCGTTGAGCACGTCGCGGACGGTGCGGCTGCTCACCAGCAGTTTGGAGGTGTAAATGAAGTTGAGGATTTGCTGCAGGCCCTGCGAGGTCAGGGCGTCCAGTGACAGGTCCACCCGCCGCAGCTGTTTGCTTTGGGCAAAAAGAGAGTGGAAGAAAGGGCTGTAAGCCGCCAGCACGCCCTTGTGGGCCGGGAAGGTGCTGTGCTGACGCACCAGAACGATGTCGACGTCACACAGGTCAGGCTGGAAGAGGCGCTGCTCGTTCAACCTGTCCATCAAACAGGTGAAGTGCAGAGCCACATCCTCTACCAGAGAGAACTCAGCAGAGGGGAAGTCTGTGGTCTTCTCCACTATGAGCTGGAAGGGGAAAAGGCAGAGAAAAGGGTTAACATGTAAAAAATTGGATAGGAAGCCAATTAAATCTCTACTGCAGCATACTGCTGCCACCATGACAAAAAATATTTATTACTAGACATCAAATTATTCAGTTCAAGAAACTTTTCCTGTTATAACAATATATCACTTTATCATTTTATATCACAAAACTTTGATGTTATTTCACACAACCAGTGTTAACAAACTCGTTATAACATAATAAGTTGGTATGTATTATATATTATATATATGTATTATGCTGTTATTACTTCCATATGGTGTTAAAATGAGCCTGAAGTTTTTATGTATTATGGCTGTGGGTTGCTTTGATTCTGTTTGAGCAACTATGCATAATGTGTGTATTTGGTATTGGTGACTCAGTGACTCGGGTATGACACAGTGCTGCTTAGTGCAGTGTTGACATACCAAACCACAGATGTTAAAGTATATCTGACAAGAATGGACATCTTCCACCCTCCCACCGCCACCTCCTGACAGCACGAGCAACATGCACAAGGCCAGGTACAGTAAGTGACACGAGGGATGACGGTGCGCTTAAATATGCATTCAGTTCAGCGCCTCTCTCTCTCATCAGCACCCTCTGCCCTGTCTACCCTTCCTGGCCACACTGCACTGCATTTTTAACAACCTAAAATAAAGTTCAGACTACCACGTATCCACCACTATCATTGCAGGATTGTAGTAGAAATACCTACAGTATATAATCAGACTCTGAAGGTGCATAGTGACATGGTGAAACCCTCTTTCTCACTAACTCAGGGTTCATCAATGGGGAATTAAGAGGTGCCATTTCATAAACCTCCATTTGAACAGACATCTTCTCTTTCAAGGGGATCAAATATGTGTGTGTCCTCACCCACAGAACTCAAAATGGATCATGAATGGGATCATTTAAAACTCAAGGTGAAAATGTTTGAAGAGGGATCAGAAATGTAGCCATGGGTCAGTACATAAAAGCCCATCCAGGGAGGGGCGTTGCAAACTATCTTAGGCTATAAATGCTGTGGTATTTGGCACCGGTAGATGCTATTTGTCCCTTTAAAAATAAGCATTAAAATAAATAATGGTTTGACAGAAAACAGTCTTAACAAGTTCTACTTACAAGCCTGTTTCAAGCTTTCAACCACTACTTCATCTGCAGATGGAGCTCCAGAAATAAACTGTTTATTTCATTTTGGTTTGTTTGTTTTTCGCCTAAATGTGCATGCTCAAAACAAAAAGTAATGAAAGAATAGCTGATTTCAAATCACATAACATTGTCAATATTCTGTAATGTAGTTGTGTTGTGTACTGCACAAAGTCACAAACTGCATGCATGCTGCACGATACAAGTCAGAGACAAATCAAAAGGTGTAACACTCAGCGCTCTGTGCAAGGTCCTCAACTTCCCAAGGTGGGTTTATTTTAGCACAGGAAGGGCAGGGTTTCGATCCAGACGGGATGTGAGTGGGGACAGAGCAGCAAACAGAGCAAACACACACACACACACACACACACACACACACTCACTCACGCGCATATGTGATGTGCAACCATGCACAAAAAACACACACACACACACACACACACAACAAACAAACACAGTGTCTGGTCTCTGCAAAGACCGACTGGTCGGAGCATTGGTATTCAGTGCCATCTTCCTCCCATTAGCCGGCTCTCTCAGCACACCCACTCACTACACTGTCCCTGAGGAATGGAGAATTATGCACAAGACAAAACACGTCGGGAGAAATAATTAGGGGAACCATGCCGAATAAATACTAACTAACCCTCCAAACAATTAATGGAATTTATCATTCTAGGCGTCTCTTGAAGGCAAAATAGTATTGATATGAAACTTGTTTTGGCTGTTTGCATGTCTACATCTCTTATTTTTTAGTATTTACAGTTGTGTGTGTACAACAATTGATGGGACACATACAATAAATAAACAAGAAAAAGGGCAAGACATTACATTAATAGTTAATTTTGGGACAATAACCTTTATAGCATTTATGTAAAAGTTCTGTAGTAAATTAGTCTGAATCACACTACAAAGGCTGTTCATTGTTCTTTACATAGTTCTAGTTCTTTGCCTTACTCTGCTGCCCAATATATTTTCTCTTTAAGATCAATGAAAATGACTTTTCATTGTTAAGGCTGGGAAATGGATTTGCATTTAGGCCTAACCTTGAAAATATGTCCTGTTTGAAGAATTCAATTATGGAGTGTTAGATTTATTCATAGTTTTGAGCTGCTAAATTGGACTCCAAGCCAGAGAAGAGTGGAGATCGGGTTATCTCCCTCCATGCAAGGCTACAGACATTGCCCAAGGGCAAAACGCTGCAGCCTTAATCAGATCAAGTATAAGTTGCAGACTGGAAGTTATGCTCCTTTAGCGATAACGATCGGCTTCTTCTCCCAGGATTCAAATAGGACAACGCAGTCATAGATTCAATTCTACAGGATGACAGATTCAACATCAATAGGATCAAAATAAAGGAAGCGACAATGAATTTAGAAGGTCTAAAAAGGTCCAATGTTGGGTGTATTTACATGCAATATTACTTTAAGTTGCTGATTTTGTTAATATTCCTTTAAAACTCACTTCAAAACTAATCCCTTGATGCTTATTTTTCTACCATTTCTGGATTGCATGGGAAATCTTTAAAGGGGCTGAAAATTGTATCCTAGGGATTGAAATGCAAAATAATGATGTTAGCCAAATGCACCTGTAAAACAGGACTCCAAATGAGTTCTCAAGAGATTTCATTACTGTCTTTATGCTGTTTGGTGTTCAGAGTTTTGCCTCAATACTGAGCGTGCAACGGGACATTTTTTTCTATGTCGCCAGCTAGAAATGAGAAACCTGCTTTTGTTTGTTTCTGTGTAAAATCGAAGAGCAGGTTGTTTTAAAGATGCCTACAAATTCTGAATAGGTAAACCTGCCACAGTTAGCTACTGCTATATCTGGAAGAATCTATCTAGCTGCTTACCAAAATAGCTAGGCTGCAAGCTAATAAAGTGGATACTAACTTACACATAAAAATTAAACAAGCAAACTGTGCCTCAACATTCTCAAAGTGCTTCTTTACTTCCATATTATCGAGTTATTCTACTCAACTAATCAGAATGGAGACAAAAAGCCAATCAGAAATTGTGCTTGCTCAGCATTATTATTAGCATCTTCCTACAGCAAAAACCTTCAAAAGACGGTTTCTCTTGAAGGTTGATCTGTACACTGCTGAATGACAGAGGGGGTTTCAATTAGTGAATGCATTATTTTCATTAAGACAGACGCTTTAAAACAATTTAATCCAATAGTAAACAGTTGTGTTTACCATGCAGCTGCTGCGTCTGTCATAATATGCAATAAAGACAAAGCCAGCTCGTCGTATCTCATTACATGCTGTCGCCAAACGAATTGAGTGACAACTTTGCATTTAAAGGCCACATCCAACTCCCTCCATCTTTCTCTGTCATAATCTCTCTCTCTCTTTCTCTCTCTCTCGCCACCTCACCTCTTTTCTCTCCGCCTCCCCCCTTTTCCTTGCAAATGTCAGGGAGAGAGCTTGTTTGCTGTCATTAGAGGGAGCGCCACCTTTAACCAGCATCTCAGTCAGATGTCTCCCAATACATTATTCATATCTGGCCTGACCCGTGACAAACACGCAGCAGGGGGGATTACTGACGCACCCAACAAGAGGTGTCATTTAAACGGGCTTCAATCAAAGCTCTGAACACCCTTTCCACACTCGTCTGCTAAAGACAACATGTGAGGGGATCCTGTTGCATTGTGGAAGCCTCAGAGGGCCTCTTTCACAAGGTAGCTCTCGAGGTTATGCGTTTTAAGCCAAGAACAATGTTATTATAGTGGACTGTGCCCTTTAAAGGACAGTTTGCTTAAGTTCTGCTTAAAGATTACAGAACAAAAACAGTATTTATGCTATAAAATCCTCTTCACTCTTTACTTTGTTCACACTGTTATTATGTGCTGTTATTAAAAGGCAAAAGCTGTTAATGTCAGAATCACTTGCTGAGAAGCCACAAGGTCCATTGAGTAGATGTTTCAGAGCTTTTGATCACTCAACATGATTCTCATCAGCAGATGGAGTTGTATTGGAATTGAAGATGTTCAAATTTCTATTTTTCTGAGCACTTTAAGGACTTAAAAAGCAGATTTTTCACCTTGCAAAGAACTGACCACAAGGTCTATTTAGAAGCTGTTCTTAGGCTTTTGATCACGTGACATGTTCTTCAGCAACAACTAATCACTTATCCAACCAAATCAAATTTAGAGGGATGACACGCCCTAATTAAATGTCAAATTTACCAACTCTGAAAGGTCACAACTGACACAAAACTAAATCTAGCTCCTGTTAACTGATCTAATGGGGTTTCACTCAAGTATGTGTCATAAAATTTGTCTAACTTTGGGGCACTGATGCATCTTGGGAAGATAATCAGACATTTAAAGTAAAAAAAGTTTTTTTCTGAACCCCCTGACGGCAATGCTTTAATCAGAATTCTAAGTTTCAAAGTTGGATACTACTTTACTATCCAGTTTTGATGAAGCTGTGATGGATGATTCACAGGATTACCACTTCCACTCATTCATGAGAAAAAAAAAGAAATTAATTGATGGCTGTTGCTTTAGTTATCTTCAGTGATAGTCAGACTCACTGGTCAATCAAACCAGAGTAACCGGTGAATCCTGTACTTGGCAGAGGCCCGACTCCTGGACTTGGACCTGAGCCAGACAGGAGTTGAGTCTAAGAATGAAATCTCTTTTTCTAATTTGACTTTCACTGGTGAGAATGACCTTTCTCTCCCACACCTTTGCACTGGACAGCCCATGTAGATTTACTACTCTGTACTGAATCTCCGTCTCTGTGCAGCTACAGACTGAGGATGTACTGTGACCTCCACAGAGCTGCCATTTTAAAAGTTCCCTTGTCTGTTCACTATAATGTAGTTGTCTG